CTTGCTGAAAGTGAAGAGAATTTGAAGCACTTACTGATGAAGATCAAAGACTACAGCCTTCAGTATGGATTACACCTCAATATAAAGAAAACAAAAATCCTCACTACTGGACCAATAAGCAACATCATGATAAATGGAGAAAATATTGAATTTGTCAAGGATTTCATTTTTCTTGCATCCATAATCAATGCCCATGGAAGCTGCAGTCAAAAAAATCAAAGGACGTATTGCATTAGGCAAATCTGCTGCAAAAGACCTCTTTAAAGTGTTAAAAGGCAAAGATGTCACTTTGAGGACTCAGGTGCCTCTGACCCAAGCCATGGTATTTTCAGTCACCTCATATGCATGCAAAAGCTGAACAACAAATAAGGAAGACCCAAAAAAAATTGATGCCTTTGAACTATGTATTGGCGAAGACTACAGAATATACCATGGACTACCAGACGAATGAACAAATCTGTCTTGGAAGAAGTACAGCCAGAATGCTTCTCAGAAGTAAGAATAGAGAGACTTCATCTCACATACTTTGGACATGTTATCAGGAGAGACTAGTCCCTGGAGGAGGGCATCAGGCTTGGTAAAGGGTCAGTGGAAAAGAGGAAGACCCTCAATGAGGTGGATTGACACAGTGGCTGCATCAGTGGGCTCAAACATAGCAATAATTTTGAGTATGGTGCAGGACCAGGCAGTGTTTCGTTGTGTTGTATGTCACTATGAGTCAGAACTGACTCGACAGCACCCAACAACAATAACAATGACAACAGTCTTTACGAGAGTAGATCTCCAGGTCTTTTTCCCATGGAGGTGTTGGATGGCTTTGAACCGCCAGTCTTTCAGTTAGCTGCCAAGTACTTAACTGTTGTACCATCAGGGCTCTTTTTGTAATAGTATAGTTGATGATAAACCTTTTGTTCTATTTTACATAAAATGGAATTTTAGAGTTTGGATTTTTTTTTTTCTTTTTTTTTTTTTTAGCAGTTTATCAGTGAGCCCAGTAATGTATCCACAGCTCATAGTCTGGTACCATTTTTAATGTGTTTCTTATATTTTTTAATGCATATATAAAGCAGGACCTGATTGTCAACCTGTCCAAAATTGAGGGGCCAAATTACCAAAGAATCTATGAAAATGAAATGTAAAAGCAACATAAACTTATGAGAAAATTTAGTTACGCTGCTCCGATGGTGTACTTCTATTTTTATAACACACATTTATATCAATATCACAACCATAGTGATAATTTTCTTGCTAGTGAATCAAAATGAGGGTGAGCTGGAACTTTTTTTTTTCTTTCAGTTTTTTCACAGGTGGCAGGTCACTCCTTTTTGGTATTAAGAGCTAAATTCAGTTATCTAAAGTGTTGTTTGGGTTGGTTTTGTACTTCATAAAAATAAATCCTAGCATTTTTTAAATATTCACTTTTGGCTGGGTTATTTACATATGCCCTTTTTACTTTATCCTAAAAACCTGTCTTCTTTATAGAAAATGGTATGCATCTCTATCTTTCAGATGAGTAAAGAAACTCCAAAAAAAATTGTGCTGCTAGTTAGTTGAGGCCAAAGCCAACCTTTTCCTCTTGAATGTTGGAAATGCAAATATTAAGTTTAATTGGCATCAGTGCCTCATATTAAAATGTATATTATCAGCAGTTCAGAATGTCATAGCTGTTATCTGAACATAGTCTACTGAACATTCTGCTTACTTTTATAAATCAGTAATGGCAATACAGCTTTATCAGAGATAGATAAAGTTTCTTCACTGGCATGCTTAAAGAGATAGAAACTTGAGAGTTCGCTTATGATGATTTGGGCATGTATTAAAGTAAGTTTATGAAATATCATATTTCTTTGATTAATTTGGTGATTCACAATATACCATTGCCACTGAGTCAATTCTGACTCATAGCAACTCCATAGGACAGGTTAGAACTGCCCCCATAGTTTCCACAGCTGTAATCTTTATGGAAGTAGACTGCCATATCTTTCTCCAACAGAGGAGCTGGTGGGTTTAAAATACTGACCTCCCGGTTAGCAGCTGAGTGTTTAACTACTGCACCACCAGGGTTCCTTATTTGCAATATAAATAGGAAATTAAAAATAGTACTAATTCTTACAAAACAAACTCAGTGCAAATGTTGGTTAATTATATGGAAGCCATGTGTCATGGATTGAATTGTGTCCCCCCAAAAATGTATGTATCAGTTTGGCTGTGCTATGATTCCCTGTATTGTGTGATTGTTCACCATTTTGTCATAGGATGTGATTTTCCTATGTGTTGTAAATACAACCCTGGTGGCGTAGTAGTTAAGAACTGTGGCTGCTAACCAAAAGGTCAACAGTTTGAATCCACCAGATACTCCTTGGAAACCTTGTGGGGCACTTCTACTCTGTCCTGTTGGGTCACTGTGAGTCAGAATCAACTCAATGGCAAGGAGTTTGGTTTTGGTTCTGTGATGTTAATGAGAGAGGCTGGGCTGCGGTTGTGTTGATGAGGCAGGAGTCCATCTAAGGCATTGGATTGTGTCTTGAGCTGGTTTCTTTTGGGATATAAAAGAGAGAAGCGAGCAGAGAGACAGGGGGACCTCATACCACCATGAAAGCAGTGCTGGGAACAGAGTGCATCCTTTGGACCCTTGGTTCCTGAGTGGAGAAGCTCCTAGTCCAGGGGAAGATTGATGAGAAGGACCTTTCTCCAGAGCTGATAGAGACAGAAAGCCTTCCCCTGGAGCTTATGCCCTGAATCTGGACTTTTAGCCTACTATACTGTGAGGAAATAAATATCTCTTTGTTAAAGCCATCCACTTGTGGTATTTCTGTTATAGTAGCACTAGATAACTAAAACAGCATGATATAGTGATATTAAGTGTAAAAATAAACAAGATGCATTTAATTAGTTTCGATTTACTACATCAAGGTATTACTTATATAAAATATATTGAATTATTTTTATTTGGTAGACCCATGTGAATATCGCAACCCTGAAATTGCATTCCTTGATAAGGGGACTTGTCCTCTGACACTTTGGGAAACATATGAAGAAAATAACACAAGATTCTAAGAGGAAATTATCTGTACATATAATTTAACTAGTCTTGAACAAAATGAAAACATATAAGGAGAACTGGGTTTCCAGAACCATCCTTCTATAATGTTTTGTTACCTATGCTCAGCAATGCTTTTCAGCAAGTCCTACTGGTCTTAACAACGATAGTTTAAAACATAGGGCATGCTTTTGAGAAAGTAATTCTAGGAACAAATTACTTTTCACAATTTACAAATAAATCAAGGTTAAAATTCACCATTTTAAAATATTGAGAAATAAACTTAATTGGAATATCTTTACAACAGCTTGAAAATATAAATTTATATTCCTAAGGGGGTCTTAAATATTTTTCAAATGCACAACAAAGTAAATACTTAAAGTGTGATTACTCCATTGTTTATGTCACAATGTACTGGCATTCATACAGAAGATGCAAGTCCCCTAAGTGTGATAATAGCATACCTACAGATAACAGATGCATTTAATGAAAGAGAACCAGGTATTTATTATCATCCAATGAGAAAAACAGGACAATGTTCTGCAAGTAATTTGTGTTGTCTGGAACAGACAGGGTGGACTATCAATCTATAGTTATTTTCAGGAAAATTTTCTTTGGACTTGCCTGAAAACTTGATGAGAAATGATTAGCACCAGGCAAAAGAAAAGAACTGGGCTCTGGAATTTGTATTGTTAATAGAATAGGAGAGAATAATTGCTTTCAGTTCATGGACCTTTCATGAAGACACAAAATCTATTTTTAGTCCCTTTTGGCCTATTAATACTATTTATTATGTACTCAAGTAAATGGCAATACAGTACTGACCCAGAAGCAAAGTTAAGAACTTGCAGGATACTCATATAACTTTAATTCCAAGAATATTTATATTAAAGCTTAAAAGAAGGTGTTGATGTCAAGTCAACTGTAACTCAGGGTGACCCCATGGGTGTCAGAAGAACCGTGCTCCAGAGGGTTTTCAATGGCTGATTTCTTGGAAAAAAGATCACCTTTTGGTTAGCAACAGATCATGTTAACCATTTGCACTACTCAGGAAGTCTAATGTATATATTGTTGTTAGGTGCTATTGAGTCAGTTCTGATCCATAGCAACCCTATGTATAACAGAACAAAACGCTGCCTGGTCCTGCGCCATCCTCGCAATTATTGTTATACTTGAGCCCATTGTTTCATGCAGCCACTGTGTCAGTCCATCTTGTTGAGGGTTTTCCTCTTTTTCACTGAAAGTCTACTTTACCAAGTATGATGTCCTTCTCCAGGACAATGATGATGTCCGTGTCCAAATTATGTGAGAAGAAGTCTTGCCATCCTCCCTTCTAAGGAGCATTCTGGCTGTACGTCTTCCAAGACAGATTTGTTCATTCTTCTGGCAGTCCATGCTATATCCACTATTCTTCACCAAAACAATAATTCAAAAGCATCAGTTCTTCTTTGGTCTTCCTTACTCATTGTCCAGGTTTCGTATGCATATGCAAAAGATTCAGGGACCAAAGACACAATTCCTGGCCCCACGTGGCTCACCATCTATTGGGTAAATGGGCTCGTAGTGGAATGATTTCACAGAGTATAAGAAGTGCTGTGGCACACATACAGCAAGGTGCTAAGGGGACCAACACTGTCTGGGGGTATCCAGGTAATAATATACCTATTAGTAGCTGCATGCCTGAGAAAATGATAGAACCAGTAAAGAAATGATGTACAGCATGTAGGAGAATGTGAAGTGAGTGAGGTTATGTATTTTATGTTTAAACAGAGTGTAATGTTGGTTGTGATTCTGAGTCATGTTGGTACCATTTTGTTACAGAAATACACTGTGGCGAAATGTTTCCACCCCTTGCCAAAATGAACACTGAGGAACATGAAGAAAACTGAAGAACTCCAATGAAAAGTTGCAAAACAGAAATAGCCACACTTCTTCGGAGTCTTTAATTCCCCACAGCCATCATAGAAAAGGTAGGGGAATATATTATGCTATGGTTTTGCTCTTTTAATAGTATTTAAATTTAATACTGAAAAAGGAGAAAAATGTATTTGTTTATTGAACAAATATTCATTAGGTGATGTCTGTGTGCCTGCAAACTGTTCTAGGCACTAGAGATACAATGATGAACAAAAAAAGCCAAGGTTATGCTCTTGAAGGCATTGACATTCTAGTGGGAGGAGATAAGTAAGTGTCATGGGTTGAATTGTGTCCCCCAAAAATACGTGTTAACTTGACCAGGCTGTGATTCCCAGTATTGTGATTGTCCACCATTTTGTCATCTGATGTGATCATGCTATCTGTTGTAAATCCTATCTCTGTGATGTTAATGAGGCAGGATTAGAGGCAGTTATGTTAAAGAGGCAGGACTCAATCTACAAGATTAGGTTTTGTTTTAAGCCAATCTCTTTTGAGATTTAAAAGACAGAAGCAAGCAGAGAGACGTGGGGACCTCATACCACCAAGAAAGTAATACCAGGAGAATAGTGTGTCCTTTGGACCTGGGATCCCTGAGCTGAGAAGCTCCTCCTCAACCCAGGAAGATTGATGACAAGGACCTTCGTCCAGAACCAAAAGAGAGAGAAAGCCTTCCCCTGGAGATGACGACCTGAATTTGGACTTTTAGCCTCCTAGACTGAGAGAATGAATTTCTCTTTGTTAAAGCCATCCACTTGTGATATTTCTGTCGTAGCAGCACTGAATAACTGAGACAGTAAGTAAATTAGTGAAAAGGAAACTGGCAGGTGTTGCTAATGCCTGGGAACGTGGTTGTTGTGGTTGTCTTGTGCCAGAGTCGATTCTGACCCCGGTGACCCCATGTGTTACAGAATAGAGCTGTTCCATAGGGTTTTCTTGGTTGTAGTCTTTAGGGAAGGGAGCCCTGGTGGCGTAGTAGTTAAAGTGCTTGGCTGCTAACCAAAAGGTTGCTGGTTCAAAGCCCCCAGCTGCTTTGTGGGAGAAATATATGGCAGTTGGCTTCTGTATATAGCCTTGGAAACCTTATGGGGCAGTTCTACTCTGTCCTATAGTGTCACTATATGTCGGAGTTGACTCAACGGCAATGGATTTGGTTTGATTTCTTGGAATCTTTACGAAAGGAGATCGCCAGGCATTTTCTTTGACAGTGCTGCTGGGTGGGTTGGAACCTTTCGGTTCCCAGCCAAGTGCAAACTGTGTGTGCCACCCAGGGACCTGTATGAATGTGGTGAACAGGTTAATGTGATATGGGATGACTGAGGGGCTACTTTAGCATGGGTGTCAGAGCAGACCACTAAGAGAAATTGGAACTGCGTTGAATGATGGAAAGGAGCCAGCTGAGTAAAGACCTAAAGACAGGACCTTCCACATGCCCGGAAGCAGTATCCACATCAGTATGCTCAAGGCTCAGAAAGCAAGTCTGTATTGCTGTAAGAGGACTTATAGATGCATGCTGTAGGAGAGGAAGTTGGAGAGCTTTTTAGGCATGGGACAATGTCTTAATTTTACTCCATTGCAGAGGGAAACCATGGGAGAGTCATTAGCAGAGAAGTTAAAGAATTTGTATTTTCAGAAGACAGTTCTGCTTTATTGATAGGCGTGAGGGTTCAGTAATAGTGGGAAACAGTGCTGCCACTCCCAGTAAGAGATTATGGTGAGCTCGTTTAGGGACATGGCATTGGGATGGCAAAAAGTGGATGGATTTGAAATAAATTTTGGGTCTGCTTCAGCTAGATTAAAATAGATGACCACCTCTACTCTAAATGAATCCCCAAATATAATTATATTTCCATACATATAGGGTATACTGTTCATTTGGAGCCCTGGTGGCACAGTGTTTAAAAGCTCAGCTCCTATCCAAAAGGTTGGCAGTTCAAATCCACCAGCCACTCCTTGGAAACCCTATGGGGCAGTTCTACTCTGTCCTGTAGGATCACTGTGAGTTGGAATCAACTTGATGGCAACGAGTATGGGTACTGTTCATTTGTGTTTTAATATACAGTAGTCATATTGTAAGGTCCCTGGTTGGTGTAAACAGTTCGCCATCCCTTACTAATCTAAAGGTTGGTGGTTCGAACCCACTTAGAAGTGCCGCAGAAGAAAGAACCAGAAATCAGCTTCCGTAAGGATTATAGCCAAGAAAACCCTAGGTAGCATAGTTCTATTCTGTAACACACGGGGTTGCCATTATTCACAATTGACTTTACTACAGCGATGTAGTCAAATTGTAATTTATTCCAGTGTTTCAAAAAACTGCTTACAATGTATATGTTTATGGACCGCTTCTGAAACTTAGAAGAGGTTAGTGTCAAATTGTGAAATGAAAATTCTACCCTGAAATCTCATGTGATAGGTGGGTTATCTTGTAGCACGCAGAGACTTGAGCTTTTGCAACTCCTCTCCTGCTTCCTAGTGGTTCCTGACTTCTAAGAATATTGTAGCCCAAGCCACTGGGAAGTACCCTGTGTGAAAGGCCACTTCCTAGATAAGAAACATATGAGTTTTTTGAGCACTAGTGGTTTAGGTCAATCAAGTATGATTTCAGGACTAAAACTTTTACGCTGGGTTATTCCTAGATGAATGTTGAAGAAAAACTAAAATACAGCTTAAAATTGGTGTTTCAGAAAGTTGAAGATATATGAATGTAAGCAGTGTTTCCCAGAGAAACTAAAGTTCTGCAGAGTGAAGGCTTCACGTCATGGAGAATGTGAGCATTGTGCAGAGATACATGGAAGAGTGGGAGAATGAGGAATGGATGTGATGACCTGGGAAAGTAGGTCCAAGTTTACAAGAGCCAACAGCCACTGTTGGAGCATGGATCAATCCCATAATTGTGTCCAGAGTCATTATTTATGATAACTCAGCTGAGCAATCTTTAAAGAGCTCAGCAAAATGCAGAGCCTTGCCTTCTAATATTCTCAACTTTCTGAAATGGTTTTAAACTTGGGTGCTGTAGGAACCCTTCCTTTCTCACCCCAGACCCCTCCCAAAAACAACCTCAGTGCAGCAACTGCACAGTGTCAGATAATTGAAAGGACTCACGAGATTCCACAGAGTTAGGCTGTAATAAAGGCAAAGAGTGTGGTGCAGCAGGAAAAAGAAAGCCCAGCAAACATCAGAGAGGCCTGAGATGTCCAGGCAGAGTTCCAGGGTCCTTTTTCAGTTGCAAGAATGCTCTTCATCTTCTGGTCCTCAACCACCAAGATGCAGGTAAGATACCGTGGTCTCAAGGATGCCAAAAGCACAAGATTACTAAAGGGTGTTTTACACCCCACAGCTCACTTAGCAAAAAAACAGGCTTTGTGACCAGGTGCAAACCATCAATCGATACCGTTTAAATAAACAGCGTAGACAAGCTGGTACAAAATGCCTCCAGACGAGTTTTGGACTTTAAGGAGCACGTTATAAACCACTAGCTAGTACATTTCACCTTTGTCTTGGTAAAGAGTCAATATTATGGTTCCGATGTCCTTTAAGATAAGCAGAGAGCTACCCCACAACTGCAAGTAACTCTATCCCTATACAGTCATCAACCGCATAGTGTCGGTTTGGGCAACATCCAACTGTATATATGTCCATGGTCCCATAAGGTTTAATAGAATTTAGAAATCCCGATGGAAGAATGGGACATAGGGGATGTAACAGCTTTCTGCACGCAACACATGTATCACATGTCTCTTGTATACAAAGTGATCATGCTGCCAGGCATATGATGGTATAGTATATATACAATCTATAATACATATGTCTTAATAGTCATAATAAATACCTGTGTTACTGGCTTTCTATTGTTAATTTAATGTGAACTTTCCCTACTTACAAATAAAAGTTTACCATATAAAAGTGTATGCTTCGACTCGTAGGCAGCAGCATCTAATCTCATGTATCGCACATCTCTTGAGTGTTGTAGCATTATTTCTCTGCTCAATTTTCTTTCAAAAATATTATCATGAAATGCATCATGACTCCGAAATGCAGCAAAAGCAGTGCTTGTGATAGCAGCAGCAAGAGGCAAAGGAGAAGTATCAATTTGGAAGTGAAACAAAAGGTATCCCATATAGCTTTACTAAGTATATAATATGGTGTTTGCACAACACCCAAATTACATAATGTCCTACTTTGTGGAACATATCATAGATGTTAAGTGACACATGTCTGTACACATGGAAAATTGAGCAATAATGAAAACCAGAGAAGACCTAAAGATGATACACCACGTTCTGTGATCAGTCTTGTTGTCCGTTGGACTGGATACAACTCTTTGATTAGCTGGAGATATTGTTAAAAGGCCAAGCTTGAAGTCAAAATGTCTGGGAGAAGTCAGGGGCATAGTGAGGGTAACAAGCGCCCAGGGGTAATCTCTAAGTTGCGCCCCCATTCCAATTTCAAGATGAATAGACACTGATAGTGGTGATGTGTCAGCAGAAGTGGGTCCTCCTCTTGTCCGGCTGCCTCAGTCAAGCACCTTTCATATTTGTGGTGCCTTGGAATATCATTACACTCCTTGTCTGTTGCCCCCTTAGACTTGCGCCTGGAGGCAAGTGCCTCCTTCTGCCCCCACCCCCTGCCGCCTCTAGGAGAAGTGTTTGGATTCTGAAGCAATAAGGATAAAATAAAACAGAAAGAATAATAGTGTCTTAGGTCAGAAGCACACCATGAGACAAGGATTTGGATACCAGTGTTTATTTGGGAGGTGATGCCAGTATACCCAAAGAGTGGGGATGTGAGATAAGGAATAGAAGGAAGCCAGATCAGGTACCTTATTACTGCTGTGACCCATTTATTGCAGGCACTGGTTTGATTTAGGGTTAACAAAACAAAAATTGCCCCTGCTTTCAAGGAACTCACATGTTGGTGGAAGAGAAAGACAAGGAAACATGTTATTGTCATAAGGGCTATAATGAGGGTATGATGTGGCTATTGAATAAAATCAAGGAAGAAACAAGATGTGTATCAGTTAGCTGTTGCTGCATAACAAATATCCCCCTCAGTGATT